GATCTTCTTGACTCTAAAGCTAACCCTCTCTCAACAGCACCACATTGGCTTTTGACCAAAGACTAGTCCAACGGATTTCTGACTTACTTGATGTGGATGTTTCCTCAAAGTCAAGTAAACAAATATTTGTTTTTGTTGTTTTGTTTTGTTTTGGGGGGGATTGGGAATGAAGTTAAATGACTTGCTCAGGGTCACACAGCTAGTAAGTGTTATGTGTCTGATGCCAGATTTGAACTCAGGTCTTCCTGAATCCAGGGCTGGTGCTTTATCCACTGTGCCACCTAGCTGCCGCTCAGCAAGTATTTGTTAAGAGCTTAATGTATACTAGGCTCTGTGCTAAATGCTGGGGATACAAAGAATGGCAAAAGCTGTCTCCATTAACAGAGTTCATAGTCTAATGCCATCCTGGTTGACTATTCCATTTCCTCCCAAATGTTCAACAAGAAGCCCAATGTGGTAGAAGGTTTTCTTATTTTTTCTTGACATCTCAAAGATAGCATCAGAATATATGGAGTTTCCATCATTCATTCCTCACTCTCATCATATGATGTGCCCATCCTTCTTCTCTCCCCATAACTTTCATTTATGGCATCTCAGCATCTTTTCACACTCATTCTTCTCCATGATCCCTTGATTCTCATGTATTGTAACTTGCTCACTCCAGCTATGCTTATCTCAGCTGCCCCTTGGGCAATATTTGTTTTAGGTGGGAAAAAGACACCTGCAACAGCAAGAAACTTGGACTTTTTTAAAATGCTGCACAATTTTCAAAATTATGTGTATACCAGTGAATGGGCAACCCATCCTTCCATGTGCAGATTATCTGACCAGTCAGCCAGTCTTGGGAATGCCCATCGATCTCCCTAAGGGTACCCTGGGGTAGTCCAATCAGCACAAAAACAAGTATCTAGAGAATGTTACCATCAATGGGAGCGTCCTTTCCATTTGGTTTTTCTGCAGGGCATCTTCTATGACACTAGTTTCCTTGCATAAGTATTTTCCCGGGTTTCATCCATCTTAATAGGGATTTTGTTGTTGTGCAGTCATTTTTCAGTTGTGTCCAACTCTTAGTGACCCCATTTGGGTTTTTCTTCGCAGAAAAACCTGGAGTGACTTGCCATTTCCTCCTTCAGCTCATTTTCACAAATGAGGAACTAAGGCAAACAGGATTAAGTGACTTCCCCAAGATCACACGATTACTAAGTGTCTAAGGCCAGATTTGAATTCAGGAAGATAGGTCTTCCTGACTCCAGACCCAGCTATCTATCCACTGTGCCACCTAGCTGCCCCCTTAATATGGATACTGTATAGCTATTTGAATAAAGTTATTTTCATAGCTATGTCTGTTAATGGAATCTTTTGTGATTTAATTTTAACGTCTGCATGAAGAGATCATTTGTTAGAGGAGAGCCCTGAAAACTATACTTTTTGTCATGCGTGTACCACCCACTGAAAGGTACTTATGAACCTCTGTGTGAAGCACTTCTCCATGTATTTGGAATCAAGGCTGCCCTTTACACATCCTTCTACTGAGTAGGGCCAGGTGCAATTAAATTATTGCCATCACCTGGCAATTTCCAGAAGCATCTGGCATATCTCCCTAAGTGAGGTGACCAAATGATTTTTTTGTCGAAAATATTATTTTAGACGTCAGATAATTATGTATGCAATTATGTATCCCACGTAATCAATATAAGAAGACAAGTATAACAATATAAAATATTTCTTAACACAGAAATTAAAAGTTGTAATAGTTTTCCCTAAGCTTTCTAGGGTGATGACCCCTCTCTCAGATTTGTACAGATAGTAGTCATTTTTTAAAATCATATATACAGATATATATGTGTGTGTGTGTGTGTGTGTGTGTATATATGTGTGTGTGTGTGTATATATATATATGTGTGTGTATATATATGTGTGTGTGTCACACACACACACACACACACACACCTGACATATACTGTGATCTGTATTACCTTAGGTACACCTCTCAATCTCCCTAAGGCTCACAGTCCTTCATTTGTAAAATGAGTGGGGTGGGTTACATGGTCTCTGAGTTCCTCTTAGCTACAGACCAATTTTCCATGATCCTATAAACGGAAGTGACAATTTTTTTCCCTCAGGTATTCAATGACAGTTTCCCAACAGTCACTATACTATTTTGCAACCATGGAGTCTAAATAGTAGAAGTGGCTATCACCTAGGACTGAAAATAACAGGCCTCTGACTCACTTTCTGCTTGGCTAGTCATGAAAGCACGAAAGATGAACCTTCCAGTCCATGAGAACTCTCCCCAGCATAGTGTGGCTATTTCGTAAGTGACTGAAGCTGTAGGAAGTCTTGAAAAGCAGACAGAGTAGAACCAAAAAAATTCTTGACGGTTGACCACCTCCTAGCCTGGCTCAGTCTGCAGTCACTGCTCACGCTACCAAGTGATTGTGGGAAGCAGATGATGGAAACAATGATCATAAAACATTCTACAGACAGTAAAAGTAAGCCCAGCATAATGCTTATGGGAGTATCGCTATCCCTTTATAAGCTGGTTTTATGAGTGTAGTACTCTATAAGCTATTCTCTCCTAGGTACATGACGCTTTGGTAGGTGCTACGAAGATTAACTCGTGCACCCAAGCTTGTCTTGAGATCAGCTAGTGTATGTTTAGGGAGACTTATCACTAGAATGTTGGCCACCAAGTAATGATGATTTAGGGCTATGTATACTAATAGACCATCCAATAAAGTACATATGACTTGAGATATGCATTAACAGAGGGAGCTGGAGAAATAATCACATCATTATATGATTATGATTTAAGTTACTGTGAAGGCGATTGTGGTATTTGTGATATGGATTCCACAGTCAATTCAACTCCTTATGATGTCTAATGAGGATATCCAAATTTTTTTCTCTTGGGTAAACAGTTAATGGGACTAAGAGACAACTGGCCTGAGAATCAACTTTTACCTTAAGCTGCCAACCCACCAGTGATCCAATGTGCTCAGAACTAGATTCAAATTTTCTACATTCCTTTCACAACTACACAATGATCATCAGAGGGCCCCATAAGGAAACCCTATTACCCTATTCTCCAAGGTACAGCTGCACTTACAAATCCAATTCATAACATCAAAGGGCCAGAGGACAACTAAGAGACAGAGAGATTTGGAGAAGCAGGATTCCTCTGAAGGCCAGGTCCTGAAAAGTCACATTCTTCAATTTTCCCAGAGCTACCACTCTAATAATAATAATATGGATTATGGTTCAGGGCTCCATGGTTGAGGGAGAGGACGAAATTCAGCAGAAATAATTTAGCTAATAAACAATCGACAAGCTTTCATTAAGTGGTACTGTGCTAGGCAATAGGCAAAGTCATTTTTTTAGATCCCTGACCTCAAGAAGTTTACATTCTACTGGTGAAGACATAACGTACATATATATAAATATATTCTTAATAAATAAAAGGTAATTTAGTAAGGAAGGAAGCATTAGTAGCTGGGTATCAGGAAAGGCTTCATGTCAGTGGTGGCATTTAAACTGAGTTTTAAGGAAACAAGCTATTCCAGAAAACAAAGATAAAGGAAGGAGTGCATTCCAGGCATGAGGAGAGCCAGTTCAAATACAGTCAGCCAAGCTGAACCTCAAAGTGGGGGAAGGTTAATAATCTCTAACAAACCTAAGAAGGTAGTTTGGGGACAGACTATAAAGGATTTTTCAGTCAGAAAAGTTTATATTTGATCCCAAATCCAACTGGGAACCACTGGAGTTTATTGAGCAGGGAGTGACACGATTAGTCCTTTATTTTAGGAAAACCACTTTGGCAGCTGTATGAAGAACAGACTGGACTGGAAAGTGATTTGTGGCAGACAGAACAATTAAGAAACTATTACTATAGCCCAGATGAAAGGTGACAAAGGCTTGGACTAGAGTTGTGATTCTGTTAGTAGAGTCCAATACAGGAAGTCTTGTGAGAGTAGAAATAACATTTGGGAACTGACTGGCTATAGTGAAGGTGTCAAGCTGAGAATGACACTGATGTTGAGGAATAAAAAGAAATATGATTCTTTTACTGTTTTTATAGCACCTTCCTATATTGCCACAAGATAAATGAAGTTCCTAACCCACCTCAATATCAATAATTGCAGTATATACAAGTGTAGTTCAATTTCCCGAAATGTGTACATGCTGAAACACCTGGGGCTTTGGCTGTGTCAGCACACTGGTGGGTAATCTACTTTGAGCTTTAACTGCTGACCAGACTTCATTGTAAAATATAAATGAACTTTTTATTATTGTTATTGCTGTGTTGCTATCATTGTTTTTCCTCAACATGTCATTTCATCCGTATAAGGACCTTTCTCCGCTAAGGCAGAGTACGTCTTATCAGGGTCTGAGGAGTCTTAGATAGTTGCCAAAAAATCCTGAGAGGCTAATGATATACCAGACTCACGTAATAAATGTGTCAGAGGGAGGAATTAAACTGAAGTTCTTGGGGCAGCTAGATGGTGCAGTGGATAGAGCACCGGCTAGGAGTCAGGAGGACCTGGGTTCAAACCAAACACTTGACACTTATTAGCTGTGTGACCCTGGGTAAGTCACTTAGCCCCAATCGCCTAAATAGTCAGATAAATAAATAAACAAACAAACAAATAAATAAATAAATAAATAAATGGACCTACGTTCCCTACCCCAAGGCCACTCAGTCAGAGAGATTTTAGGAAATTTAAAAACAAACATCCCTACAACTTAATTACAATCCATATATAAAAATGTAGTTTGAGGAAAACACTTTTTTAGACTGTAAATGCTTCAGCTTTTGATAGACAAGAACCACCAAAGGAAGAATGATCAGAACAGAGTGGTGATGATGGTGAATGATATAAAGACCAAAAAGTTTCTTTCCTAAGGCATCTAAGTCACTTACAAATCTCTGCAAAAATCTGCATTGGTTTTTGTCAACCTAGCACTAATGTTGGAAACTCCCCAAATTCTCTTTTGAGTAGGATGGAAAGATATTCTGCCGACGGACTGCTTGTGACTGTCAGAACCCAAGTGTTGATCTCTTCTGCTGTCCAGAATGTGACACCAGAGTTACCAGTCAGTGTTTAGACCAAAACGGACACAAACTCTATCGAAGCGGAGACAACTGGACATACAGCTGCCAACAGTGCCGCTGCCTGGTATGGAAATTAACAGTTCATGCTTCTACACAGTGAGAAAGCCTTTCACAGCCAATGCATAGCTAGGCAAATCCCAGAGCAAGAGAAAGATTTCAATGGTTCACAAGGCTCAATGTAATTCATAGGTAGCGAAAATCACTTTTTCCTTGGGATTTATTGTAAGAGGGTTTCATTTTCTGTAGTGATGTTACAATTCTGATACTAGGCCTCATTAGAACTGATTCTAAGGAAAGTTAGGAGCGGAGAATTCACTCAGGGAAATCAAATGCCTTAAAGATATCACAAATGACATTCATGAGCTTATCAGTCAGCAAAGTCAGAAGAAAAGGCTTATAATTTTGGGAGGTTTGTATATGAATTGTACAAAGAATATGATATATAACATAATACTCTTGGGGTTCAGTGGAGGAAAGAAAGGCATGTAGAGTAGGGATTTATTAAATAATGTGACTTTCTGGCTATTACTTTGGTCACAACTAACTACCCTTTCCTGAGCACAATACTTTAATTCTTATAGACCTATGACTCGATAGATGTTGGTTACTCCTTTCAATTAACTAGATTGTAGTCCTTATATAGTCTAGTAGATCCCAAAGGAGATGGCTTTCCAGAGTAACTGTAATATACATTTATCACCATATAGCCCATTTGGATGAGGAGCCTCCATAAATTTAACTATCTTGATTCTCAGACAACACAACATGGAAAAAACACATTATCTTTCTCTGCCTTCCTGTACCAATAGGCTCTACCCATTCTTTAATGCAACATCTGAATAAATGTTTAACGATAGTGATGAAAATAAGAGTATCATTCCCCTTGCAATGATAAGAAGTGAGACTGGAAGTAGAATCAATTCATTTATATATAAATATAATACATAATTTATATTTTATATATTATATTTATATGTTATAAATTATATATACTATATAATATATAGTATATATAATTTATAAATAAATTTATTATTTACTGGTTCACAAGTGCAGCCATTCAATCTTTGAGAGGTCCTGGCAGAGTTAGTGGTTTGTACTACATAACGTTTGAGAAGTCAGGGTCACCTCCTCTTCCCTCCAATAATACATCAGAGTAAGACTTTGGTAGAACCTTAAAATCCTATTAGTTTTGGCCTGAAGTTTCTTGCATTTAACTCACATAATTCATTTCAGGAATATATAAGATTCTTGAGGTCAGGGGCTGTTTTTCATTTTGATTGTATGTCTTTATCACATAGTAGAGTATCTTGTCCATAGTAGGTGCTTAATAGATGCTTATTGGATGATACTGAATTTGGGAAATGAAACGAACAATACATTTTTAGGAAATGGATTTTATAACTTGTAAATATGAGATCAGCTATGTTTCATTTATTCTTACATCATGAAAATTCTGACTAATTATGAATAATATTTTAAGATAAACATCCTAAGTCATTTATTTTTCTAAATTGTCACATTTTCTGTGGTCTCCACTTTTCCTGAATTTTTTTGCTAGTATCAATGATAGAAAACTTCCTTGATGGGTCAGGAAGTGTTTATCTTTCGTAACAGATTGATGAAAGTGAAGATTAATGAGAATCCTAATTATAGCAATTTTTCCAATTTCCACAATGAAAAGAACCAACCTCAATCCCTTCCCAACTATGTACTAATTTCCTTTACAAGCTAACAAGTCAGATTTCTTTTTTAAGAAAACAAATCAGAATACCCTCCCACCCCAGAATTTTTTGTTTATGACAACAAGATGCTTATAGTTACAGATTCAAAAAAGTGGTACGTGATTCTTTCCAACATCATACTGAAAGTCGACTGTTGGTATATATGGGATTCAGCCATGAATGAGATCATGTTTATGAGACAGCTCTGAAATATGGATGACTTCACAGCTCCAACAAGAATGTATCAATGTTGGGGCAGCTAGGTGACTTAGTGGATACGGCACTGGCCCTGAAGTCAGGAGGACCCGAGTTCAAATTCAGCCTCAGACTAAACACTTGACACTCACTAGCTGTGGGACCCTGGGCAAGTCACAACCCCAACTGCCTTAAAAAAAATAAAAATAAAAATTTTTTTAAAAAGAATGTATCAGTGTTCCTGCCTTTCCACAGCCCCTCCAGCATTGACTATTCTTATCTCGGCCAATTTGCTAAATGAGATGGAGCCTCTAAGTTATTTTGATTTGCATTTCTTATCAATATTTTGTAGATTTTTTAATATGGTTGGAAATAGTTTGTAATTCTACTTCTGAAAATTATTTGTTCTTATCCTTCGCCCAACTATGTACTGGACAACAGATTTTGGATACATTTTTTAATAGTACGCTATACATTCTCAATATCAAACCTTTTTTCAGTGATGCAGTGCAAATATTGAGTTTAAGTTTCCAGTTACATTTATGCATGTGCCAACATTGATACATGTAAGACATTTAACCTCCTTAAGTCTCGGACTCCTCATCTATACAATGGGGATAATAATAGTAACTGCCTCACAGCACTGTTGTTAAGGTCAAGAGAGACTACATATCGGTTAGCTATGATGATTCTTATTATCTTCAATGATAGTGGTCAAAACAATGGCATTCCTCTTCCCTTTGTAGCTCTTAATGAGAAAACTAAGGTAGACTCAATGACACATTTTATTTCTTACTCTGTAGGAAGGAGAGGTGGACTGCTGGCCACTCACTTGCCCCAACCTGAGCTGTGAATACACTGCAGTCTCTGAAGGGGAATGCTGCCCCCGCTGTGTCAGTGACCCCTGCCTGGCAGATAGCATTGCCTATGACCTCAGAAAAACCTGTCTAGACAGCTACGGCGTGACAAGACTTAGCGGCGCCATATGGACAATGGCTGGATCCCCCTGCACGACCTGCAAATGCAAGGTAACCAGTTAACGTGTCCTTGTGAAAATAAGTCTTCATGTCATACACAATTTTCTGTGGATCATATTTATGCTGGTCCAAATCCAGAAGGTTCCTACATGGCTTCATGAGATATTGTACAGACCGTATTGTAAATGAAATATGGGCCAAAATGGCACTTGCTCCTGTGCTGAGATAGGGCATCGTAACAGCCTGTATCAATCCACTTATGCTGACGCGTGCCTTTTTTAACCTGCATAGAAAAAAAAATGGTTTCCTTTGATCATGGGAAGTTTTGAAAGCACCTTCAAGAAATTGTCAATGTTATATAAAATGCTGTATGAAGTGGGTGCTTTTTTTCACCTTCATGTCACAGTAACTAATGGAGGAGATCTAGAGTTATTGTTCACAGGCTCTAATTCACTGGGATTACTTTTCATACTTTTTGGCTGGTATCCCTATATTTTTTTTTCTTTTTTTGAATGTTGACTCCTTATCCTCCATCCTAGTCTAACTCAATCCTATGTAGTGTTTCTTCATGTGTTAGGAAATATACTACATAATTTTTTGAACAGATTGCTGCCTACTTGGCTATAGCAGATTGTAGTTCCCATCCCAGTCTCATGGGAATTATCCCAACTGCATCCCTTTGCATATCTAACTTTAGATCCAAAAACAGAGTAAAAGAGAAGTCTATGTCCAAACCTCAGATACCAAAGGGATACAATTAGGTTTCTGTACAAAAATGAGTGTCCAAAAGGAACACCTTTAACCTTAGGTGCCAGAGTTCACTGGATGCAGATATGGGAACCAAATCCTATCTGAAACTATTGGCTACTTCTGAGGTCAGAGATGAGACATATTAATGGAGATGGTATAAGGCATAATTTATTTTAAATAAAGCTAGCAGAACGGGCACATCCAAATGATTCTTCCTCTTCCAAAGCAGGGAATCTATATATTCCAGTGCTACTGAAAATGTTCTCAAAAAGTTTCTGGGAACTGTCTTTGGGGACCTAGGCTAGCTAATATCTAAAGGCTCTTCCACCTCTAAATCCTATGCTTTGAGTAATGTCAATGACATTGAAATAAATTACTATTTAAGAGGGTCAGCACTCATTTGCATTAATAACTTATAAAAATAAATTGAAAAGGTTCCTTTTAAAAATAAATCAGCCAACCCCCTCATTAATTCCCATGTATTTTATCTCCTGACGTATTTTCCTGGAAATTAGTTCCTCCTTTAGTTGTTTTCAAAATTGCCAATTGTCATTTTGGAGATATACATATATATATGTATGTGTGTACGTATATGATATCCAATATATACACATATGTATTACACACACACAGACCCCACATATATACTATATATATGTATAGCAAGGGATTAACCTGTACTCAATGCCTGGCACTACTAATACTTGCTTCTTTATTTTACAGAATGGAAGTGTCTGCTGTTCTGTGGATTTAGAATGTCTTCACAATAACTGAAGTATTTAGCATGGACTTACCAGGGTGAGGAAAACAACAGACACAGTGATCATTCAAAATAATGAAGAAGTTGGTGTTTTATACCACAGACAATTACCAAAGGCTCCAACAAACAAAGATATTTGGGAGCTGCCTTTTGGGACCTACCACTATGCTCATTCTTGCTAACCTAGTCTAGGTGACTTGCAGTCCAACACATATAAGTCTATGATTGTTTAAAAAAAAAAAAGTCTCCTGTGTTGTAAATCACCTCTCTCCCCTATCAGGTCATTTGAAAACACACTGAAATGTCTTCATGGTAAACTTGGCTGTGATTTTTGGTTTATTTTGTGTATTGACATGAAAGAAACTTGCCCCCTCCCTTTCTTTTTAATTTCTGGAGCTAGAGTCTAGATTCTACCAATAAAGCTTCCTGGTGTGATTTTTGTCCCATCCACTGCATCCTCAGTTCTGATGCTCCTGTCAGATGTATAAATATGTATGTTTCTATAGTTAGAGTCCTGAGTAGTACCCCTTTGGCATAGATATTGGGCTTCTGAAACACTCCAAAACCCACTTAACAAATATAGGCTCCAGGCAATCGAGGCAGAATTGGGTGATGTAGGCAAAAAGGAAGGATTGGCAGGAAGAAAAGCCAGAAACTTTGTAAAGTGATGAAAAGTACCTTCCCCACAAAAGGACAGCTACACTTCAATATTCCAAGTGATCTACCATCTCCTTACTGTGGGTGCTCACTCTAGTATCACGGCTTACAACCCATTCCTTACCTTTCATTCTACGCAATGAATTCTTTAGCCATGGAAACTGAAGAAATGTGGAAAAATCACAAACAAATCCCAGAACCAACAAAGCAGTAAACAAATGAAGGCAAAGATACACAATGCTGGAACTTATTTTTTTCCTTCCCTATCTGGGACTGCATGGAAATTCCCTCCACTCATTCATATAAACAACTGTCTGTAACATATATTTCAACAGCAGGGGTGCTTAACCTTTTTGGTGTCATGGACTCCCCCCCCTCCCGGCATTATGGTGAAGCCCGTGGACCACTTCACAAAAATATTTTTAAATTCATAAAATAATTTAAATAGGTTTATAATGGAAACCAATTAAATTGAAATAGTCATCAAAATATTTTAAAAATCAAAAATCACAGACCCTGTGAAATCTATCCATAAACTCATTAGAGAGTTTATGAAATCTAGGATATAAACCTCTGCCTGAGAAGGTTGCCCAAATGGACTGAAAGATCAGATGACTTGCCCTTGGGCTATTTGGTCACCCTACCGGTCTTTACTAGAGGTAGGCTTTGAGCCCAGGTCTTCCTGAATCCAATACCTGCCTCTTATACCTGCCTCCTATGTGGTATGCCATACTGCCTTTCTTGAAACTATATCTCATTAATAAATAATAATGAACTTTTATATCTATTATTATCTTATTCAGTCTTCACAATGACCCTGTTAGATAAGATGGGCACATTACTCTCCTTTTAAAGATGAGGAAGCTGAAATACAGGAGAAAGAGAGAGAGATAAACTGATCCACCAAGGTCAGACACTGACTACAGGCAACTGATAACCAAGATGAAAATGAGAATCCATGTGTCTTGTTTCCCAGTCTACAGCCCCTTCGATGATATACTGCCTCTCAATGAAGCAATCAGAAAACCCAAGAATAGCCCTACAAGTAATATTTTTGCTATAGTCAAGGTTTCTATCTGATTTGTTACCACACTGGTAGTTACTGAATTTTGACTACAGATTAAACAAAAGACGCAAATCATTTTGTGTTTTAGTCAATAAGTCTAATTTATGTTAGAGTTTCAAGCAAATGACACCTCATATGTTAGTCTTATTTAATGTTTTAATTTCCATTAAGTAATTATGAACCAATTTGGTTGATTTTTTAAAACTCTCCGGACATTTAGAAAGACCTCATTTATTAATGCAGTTGTGCCCAAAATGCTACTTGAAAACCTAAATTTGGACTGAAACAGTAATTAAAATTTGTAAGCCTCCACTGCAGTGATTTATTTCCTGGGGTTTGCTCAGTGGAGATATGATTTCTAAAGTTCTTGAAGAGTTCATAGCATGGAGACAACTCCATCCTAAGCAGGGTATCAAATGTAGAGTTTCGGTACGCATTTAACATCTACTGTGGGGCTCTGGCATAATTAACATACAGCTCCTTTATGTTCATATTTTAGATAAAACAGACTGAGGAAGGTATATCATTCCTAAAATAATTTACTTGCTACATTTTAATAATAGCTAACATTTCCATTGTGCTTTAAGGTTTGCAAAGGACTATATATATATATATATATATATATATATATATATATATATATATATATATATATATATACATATATATACATACATATATATATATATATATATATATATATATATATATATATATATATAATCTCATTTGATCCTCACAACAATCCTGTGAAGTCACTGCTATTATCTCTATTTTACAGATTAGGAAACTGAGGTTGGGAAAGGTTCAGCGATTCACCCAAGGTTATACAACTACTAAATGTCCAAGTCAGAATTTAAACACAGATCTTGCTGACTCTATGTCCCACCTTCTACCTACTACTCCACTTAGCTGATGTAATTTGGGATACCTAAAAGAATAAAGCATACATTTTCACTGAAAGAGAAGAAATGTATGCGGGTGCTGTGTGGCTGTATATGGTGACTACTCTGAGTTGTCTATGAATTGTCTACTTTAGATCCTGGTTGTTCATATCACTTCCCAAAGATCTGAAAAATCCTAGTTTTGTTAGAAATCGCTTAGGGATTTTTTCTTTTAAATTGACAGTGTCATCACCAATGGGTGCTTTTTAAAAACACCCATATTTTACAAGGGAAGTCATAAAACCTTACATTTAATGCAACCAAATACAGGCTTGGGTTCAAGTCCTGATGCTAACATATATTACCTTTGCACTTTAAGCAAGTCTTTCTCTGAGTCTCAGTTTTCACTGTGGGATCTCTTCTGACTCTAGTTATAATTTGATGATCATCATTGAGGAAGCTATCATAATAGAAATACTCTCCAGGGATAGAGATTTATCATTTATTTCCAAGCTAGTCTTAGAGTTGCCTGAAGTTCCAAGAGGGTAATTGATTTGCCCATGGTCACATGGCTAAGACTCGAACCCAGGTCAAGAAGACTTTGATTAAGGAAGACCCTAAAGCAACCAGATCCTAAAAATAAGGTAATTATATCTCATGATAAAATACGACTGCAATAAAATGGTTCCACTTAAAATTTAGCCAGAACCCACCAATTAGGAAATCAACCTGGACATTTTAATAGTCTTAAGTTTAGAGATGTTATCCTTTGATAAAGGTAACAATTCATAAATACAAGACTTCCTCCGAAGGAATTTAAATAGGCATCATATGATTTTCACAGGAAGAGGAAAGATCACTTGATGATCCACAGTAGGAACATATTAATTGCTGAAAGGCCAATGCTCATCTGTAGGTATCTAAATATTAGAAGACTGCTAACTGCTTCACAGAAAAAGATATGACTAATGCAAAGGATGAAGATCAATAAAAGATCAATTGGAGATCATCCAATTCAATGTTCTTATTTTACAAATGAGACAGTTGAGACAAAGATGGGAAGAGACTTGCCCAAGGGCACACAGCAATTAAACAGGCAAACTGGAACTAGAATCTAGGGCTTCTGATTTTGAATCCAACAATACTTTCGCTACACCACATAATTAATGACTCGGACAGTTTCTCTAAATCTCACTTTACAGTTAGCTCATCTTACTCCTGCTAAGAGAATGGTGCTAAAAAATGGCTCATAATCTGTGAGTGTCTATAAGCAGGAAGTGGTGGATGCCTATTTAAATATGAGAAAGAGAATAATGGATAATATAGCCCCGTTAAAAGCCCTTTATTGTAACAATAATTTCTTTTAAAGAAAATCTCATGGTATCAAGAAATATTTTTCCTCAGCCTCCTATTCTGTAGGCAAATAAAAGTTTTTCAAAACAGGTCCTCTTTTACTTTCAAATCTCCTTATTTAAGCTTTTTGACACTGAAGCAAAACCTCTAGTACTTAGAGATCATTCTATATTGGGCACATTGTTCTCATTCCTATCTTTTTCACTCATTCATTTCTTTTTCTTTTAAAATATTTTTTAACTGAACCTGTGCTTTCGTTAGTGTAGATGGCTCCCTGTAAGAACACCTTCTAACAAGGCCGACTGGTTCATTCTCCGTGAGTTATACATAGTCTTAGGTGCTGGGATTAATGGTCATGCCAAGGGTCACATGGTCAACATATGATGAAGGTGAGATTTAGATCTAGTCTACCTGAATCTTAGGCCAGTCCTCTATCCAGTATGCTATGTTTCCTCTCATTTTTACCAGTATGTAAGTACCCACAGTGTGCCAAACACTGTGTCATATGTAGTCTGGGAGACAGGAGAAATAAAATCATTGCCCGTTGTTGAGTTTGGAAAATAAATTATGTACCCGAAACAACGAGACAATGATGGCATGTCAGACCTGGGAGTAATCTTGGAGGTCCACGAGTCCCAGCCCCACATTAAGTAAAGAAACTGACATGCAAATATTAAAGTGATCTGCCAATATTCAGAATGCTAGCAAATAGATGAGCCAGTTCTGACCACCAATCTAGTGTTCTTTCCACCAGGCTAGTTCACCGAAGAGTAAAAGGAACAGTTAAAGGTAGATTGTGTGTCTCTAAGACAGTTTAATATGAAGTGAGCCCTAACTGAACAATCCTCACATGAAGTCCTAGTTCATCCCTCTGACATCGGGATCAAGCATTCTCAGTGCTTCGTCTGGCTTCTTCTGCCAGAGGCATAGGTCTCAACCTCTCCGGAATTTCACAAATGACCTTTGAGAGGTTCTGTGGCTGAGAAACCCATGGCCCTGTGGCCAGCATGCTGATGAGCCTCTATGAACTAAGCTAGGCTATGCCTCAGACCACAGGCATGAATCCTTTCTGGGGACTCAACCAAGCTTCTGCAACTGAATAGGCCCTGCCAGAGAAAATGCTTTGCTTGGCATAGCCTACAAGAACCCCAGGCTGGCCCCATGCTATGATGAGTGATCAGAGTGCAATTTTATTGAAGGTTCAATCAAGCCAGCATTCAACGAGCATCGATTAGTCACCGACTATGTTCCAGGCTCTGTGTAAGATGCCAGCGATGCAAAGTCTCTTCCCTCAAAAAGCTTACCTTCTATAGAACAAAGAGAATGTATACATATAAGTACATACAAAATAAAAGAAACATAACTTTTTCGTGGCCAAAAGCGTCACACAGAAGTTGGTACCTGTGCTGAGCTCTGACAACACGAGGGATTTTAAAATGCAGACTTGAGGAGGAGAGGAATTCAAGGAAGAACAGACAGCTAGTGCAAAGGCATGGAAAAGAGGGTTGGAGTATCCTGCCTTATGTGAGGAACAGCAAGGAACATAAAGTGCGTGCATTCATCCATTCATTCATGAGGCTGACTCATCTCACAAATGCCTTTAACTTCTGAAGTTCAGAATAAAATAATTTTAAAAAAACAAAGTAGGAAGATGTCAAGTAGGTGTCAAACCGGAGGAGCAGCCACCCTCTAAAGTAAAATAGGATTTTTTTTCTGTTTGATTTAATTGTCAAGTAAATTCCAGACTGATGGAGGTGGATCCCCATGGTGGCATGCATCACAGCTGATGTGGCTCTTCTAGGGAGAACTTCTCAACGTAAAGTGTTTAACTTAATCAGCAGTCACTTTCCAATCTCATTCTCCTTTCTTAAAATAAGAATAAATTACTGCCGGAAGCACAGTCTTATTTCTACAGCTGAGCAGTAGCAGGCCAAGATAGGATCCCTAAATGGCAACAGCATAAATTTCAACTGTGATGAGTCAGGAGTTGTGTGGGAAACCTCACCCGGTAGAAGTGTTAACTGTTCGTGAAGATGCCTAGTCAGTACCAATTACATACTTTTGTGACATTTCAACTTGTTACTGGGATGAAAAAATTACTGAGAGCAGGCTAGTGTGGGAAGAGGGAGCATTTCTTTTGAAGTCTAGGACCCTGAACCTAGTAAATATTCTATAAATGTGTGTTAGATTGAACTGATAGGAATTTACTTGAAATTAATCATAATAATTCTAATTACTAAAAAAACAGTGTTTGCATTCAGCTTTAAGGTTTTTAAGCACATTACATGTTAGGTCATTTCTAACAAAAACATCTTGAGGTAAGTAAGTAGCACTGATCTTCTTGTCCCCATTTTACAGACTAGGCAATTGGGACTCAATGCAGGTATGCAACTTTCCCTAGACGACAAAGCCAAAAAGTATCTGAGGTAGAATCTGAACCTAAGTCTTCTTAACAGTACGTTCACTACTCCAGCCACTACCACGATAGCATTTTTCGGAAGCAGGGCTATCCAACTCTTATGGAGACCGAATAAAAGAAAACAAACAAAAAACTTGAAGGAATTCAGAAAGACAAACAAAGAAACTGGAAATTTTAAATATCCTTGTGAGTCCACGCTCTATCTGTCTTTTGACCCTCAGGGTTCTAGAGTACCTTGAGGGGTTTACAGACGGTTTTTGTCTATTTGTTCCAGCCTCTATTGTTAGGGCACCAGTGACTAATTCCCTGGTCACGTTTGATCACTCACTATAAAATTATTTTTTCTTCAGATACAGCAAGAACAAACACTTCCTTCAGTACCTCCAGGACATATTCTGACATATGTCTCTATACCCGCTCCATCTCTGCGGGAATAAGCTCAAAATTTAGCTCCATATTCCTACATAGCACTGGTCCCACCAAATTTGTGTTCAGAGGTAATACTGGCCCCAAGTGATAGGAGACCAATATAATGCCCCTGGCACAGAATGAAAAGATGATCACAAGTCATACTTGCAGTCTCAGCACTGGGCTGGGATACAGAGAGTCAGTCCCAATCCTTGCTCCTAAGGGCTGCCCTGACTTCAAAGCCAACT